ACTGGGACTCTCATTTAGAAAAGAATTTCAGGCATTTTCAGATGCAAGAAACAATGGCACTCATGTTCTTGAATGATGTCACCATTCACTGCTAACTTTCTGGAAGGAGCTATCTGGTAGTAGAGAATGAACCACAGGAGGAGAAAGCCCTTTTTTCTTTTCCTATGGGGTATCTGTTACTTTTATAATAAATGAAGAGGACTCTCCCTGACACCTTTAACTTGAGTGACCATCCTTTATTTAGCAGTACTGGGGTTTGAACTCAGGGCCTTGAACTTGTTAGGCAGGCACTCTACCAATTGATCTATGCCCCCAGCCCTTTTGGCTTTAGTTGTTTTTCAGTAGGGTCTCCCACTTTTTGTCCCTGGTTAAAGATCCCTAGTTCCTCAAACCCATGGCCTTTCATATACCTGGGATGTGTTATGTACTACCACTGCTAACTTTTTGCCCAGGCTGGCCTTGAGCCACAGTGTTCCTGATCTCTACCTCCCAACTAGCTGGGATTACATATGTGAGCCATCACTCCTGGCTGACTGACCATTATTTAAATCAACCCACTGAGAACTGTTTTGACCTACACACTGTAAGACCTTGAGGACAAGCAGTCTGCAATGGAAAAAAAAATTATTTGAAGGCTATGCCTTCAGTGTCATGACTTTCCTAGGTCTGATGGAAGACAGGCCCAGCCAGAGAGGAAATATTTTTAGACAAGGGTGCTTCAGAGTATAAAAATAGGCCGAGTGAATAGCATACTTGTCAAAGCCCCTGAGTCCTCTGGCCAGAGGCTCAAGTAAGCATGCCACAGAAGCATGTTGGCTTTACGTATTTTTGCAAACGCATCACCAGATTTGGAGCAGTTTCTCTGAAGCGTAACTTGAGTGAAACACTACATCAACTGCTCCAGTGGCTGCTCTCCCTCCACCCTCCTTAACATAGCCCGACTGCATGTTCCCTGTGCCCCACATCACAGGAGGCTGTGCTTCATTAATATCATTCTCACACACACACAAAGTCACAAAGTCGTATAAACTATCCTCGCACCTGAATTCAGAACCCCCATCCCAAAACAAGCACTCAGAGGGAGGCACTCTCCCCTCCCCAAGGCTGACAGTGCCCCAGAGGCTGCTGTGCCTTTCCATCAAGGCCTGCCTTTTCGAGTCCTCTTGGTTTGATCCAGAGAGGAAAATAAGTCAGAAATCAGCTGTGTCTCTCAGAACTGGCATTTCTGGACTTGTGATTACTTCTGGTTGTGTGATACTTTAAACTCTGTGATTACTCTTCACTAACTTCAATAATCAGAAAAAGTCTTCTGTTCAGCCACCACTGCCACCACAGACAGTTGGTTTGTTTTTAAGACAGGTAAATTCATTAACTGGTTTCCCTAAAATTAGACTTAGAACATTTCTAAAAAGCCAAAAAAAAAAAAACTATTTTTAGCCTATAAGTCTGTTTAATATATATATTTTTACAATTTAATAAGCATTCAGGTTTGGTAATATAGGCAGTACCAGGCTTTCCACTTTCCACAAATTCTGGAAAATAGAGGACTAACTGAACATGTCAACAATAGCAACCAAGTCTCAGTTATATTTAAGAATCCCTGAACAATGTTCCACAATGGACCCTCTGGTTAGACGAGGGTCATAAATGTAAACTGCTCTTGTGGAAGATTAATATGGTAATGTTTGTTATTGCCAGTGGTTTTTTTCTTTTCTTTTTTGCTGAAAGAACCAGTTCAGGGGCTCCATAACAGGCCTGGTCCAGGAATCACAAAGGAGACAACAGAGAGAAGTTACAGGGCCTTTCCCAGGATGGTCATAACCTTGTCTTCACGACATACAAAGCTGAAAGAACAAACACAACTGAAGAAAGAAACCCTGGGAAAAGCTGGAGGGAAGAAATGATGCATTCAATTGGGCTGAGTAACTGAGTCCATTATGGCAGAAGATGCCACAGCATTTCTTTCACATATTCCAGCAAGGGCAGCAGAGTATCCAGAGATGGCCAGCAGGGACTTCAACTTTGAGTCTAGAACTGAGGATAGGGCAGGCTCATAACTAGATTCTAGACACCCACAAAGAATCCTTTGTCCACAGACACTTCTCCTCACAAGTCAGCAGGGGCCAGAGGTGCAGGCAGAACTGTGGGTTTCTCAGACTCAGAAATCACCAGGACAGGAGTAGAGACCCCCGTTCTGCCTCTGACCCTTGACCCCATAACCTTTCTACCAGGCGATTATTATAATGGTCACATGAAATGACAGACATCAAAGCTATGGTCAGAATAGTCCCATTTGTAGGGTATGTAAGTGTCAGGCTCTGTTCTCAATGTTTATGAGTATGAACCCATAGCAATGCCCCAAAAATCAGTCAACGGGGTATTGAGATTATCTTTCTAAACAAAAGACATAAGTAAATTTTGTGAAGTTCTAGAATTGTTTGAAGTCCCCTCATTTCTGTATCAAATATCTTCACAGGCAGTTAAAAGGAATTAAATGAAACCACCATTGGATTAGATTTGATGGATCTATAGAACAGGTGCCAAGATTTACTGGTTACTATTGAACACATTAATGCCATCCTAAGCATTTGTACCTACATGAGCTCTCACTTTCACAACCGTGAGGTATCTTTATTCCAAGATGGAGAAAGAGGCAGAAAGGAGGTAAGTGACTTGCCAAAGGTTCCCACAGCTAGGAGAGAGGAGCTGGGACCTCAGAGCCTGTTCTTTAAGCTTAGAACACTACTCACCAGTAACTATGGCATCAATAGCATAACCCAACCTGGGGAGACACGGAATCGAGAACAGCAGCATTATCTTCCTGTGGTCCCAGTAGAGCAAGGCAGTGAGGTGTGTGTGCCTAAGGCAGATAAGGGAAGAAGACAGGAAGGGGAAGGGAGGAAAATAAAACCTCAAGCAAGAGGCAGGTGGCAGGTAAAGCTGGATGTAGGACATGGCAGAGAAAAACCAAAATCGGACTGAAGTATCATTTCTGCTCTACAAAATGTTCACATTTACTCAATGACACTATTTGTTTTTACCTGTCAGCCTTACCTCTTCTTTCCTTTGAGAATGACAGCATCTCTAAACCTATCCCAAGTCCAATGGCCAATATGCTCATACAGCAATACTTCAGTGAGGATCAGAGGAACAGCCCAACAAAAAATTAAGCAACATCTCAGGAATAAGGAAAGAAATTCATGAGACAGATGACACATCCCAGACTCTTGAGTAGGAAGTTAATAAAAATATCTCCTCCATAACAGTCAAACGGAGCTTTTACAGCCTGAGATCCTGAACCACCTTTTTTTTAAACTAAGACATAAATTTCTTTAATGAACAATTTGAATGCATGACAAATTTAATGTGAAATTTAACATTATTTTTTGTTCCAGGAAAAAATTAACCTGTAAAAGGGAAATGCACTTTGGTTGAAAGTAGATATGAAGAAATAAGATATTAAATAAATTAACTATACTGTAGAGAAAAATGTTTGGAAATTATAGTGTTTTCTAGAACACTTATATTTTTCCTTCTCTGTTGTCTCACATCTTTTAATTGCTATGATTCTGGAGATCTCCTTGACTTAAGTATGTCCTGTGTTCTCTGTAGATGGGGCCGTATACCACTGTAGAAACCAAGTAAGACTTCATTTCAACAACTTGATCTACAAAACCTTTTTTTCTGATACTCTACATAAATCATGGTGTGTTTTTCAGGACGGTGACTAGTTCCTCTTCTGGGCTTTCCAAGTGAGATCCACAATATGACAGAAGCAATTTGCTTGAATGAAGAAAGGACACATAATCCATCAGTTTAACATATTGGTATATAATGTTAAACATACATTCAGCGTTCAGAATTGTATATATTCTGTACTGTTTTTAAGCAAGGTTCAACAAAGCCCATACTCACTATAACAACAGAAATGAATAAAGCTAAAAAGTACAAAGCAATTCTTATCCTTCAGCCATCCAGAAGCAGAATCTTCAGAGCTGGGGACAGAGAAATGAGGTGGGAACAAATTCTGTGTGGAGAGAAACTTTCAGGTGAGTCCTTACTGAGCCTGCCCAGGAGCACGATGGTAAAGATTCAACTGTAGTTGAGTGCTTCCTTTAATAGGTTAAGGAGCTCTTCCCAAAAGAAATGTGTACCTTTAGCTCTTTTTAAAAAGCTAAGAAAAGAAAAAAAAAGGCTTTGGTGAGACAAACTCACCTCCAATCTCCTGCAATGTGTCAAAAAGAAGGTTGTACCTGAAAGTCTCATATACGCTACTGGCTCTGCACCAGTAATTTAATGAAAGCTGTGAGCATCCTGGACTCCTCACATGAAAAAAGGCAATGAATGGAGCAAACCTTAGAAAGGACTCACTCTACCTGAGAAACACACAGCTAGGGCGTGTGGCACATGCCTGACATGCCAGCTATGTGGGAGGCATAAAAAGGAGGAGAGAGGTCCAGTCCAGACCGGGCACATAGGCGAGACCCTACTTGAAAAATAACTAAGGCAAAAAGGGACAGGGATGTGACTCAAGTGGTAAAGCAGCTGCCTGGCAAGTATGAGGCCCCGAATTCAAGCCCTGGTTCCACTAAAACAAACAAAAAAGACAGCTAGCAGCTTATTTCCTTTCTTTCTCCTTTATGAAAGCAAAAAACAACCTGTTTCCACTCAAGGTTCATTTAATGCTACAAGCTACTTTGCCCACTGATGATAAACTAACAAAACCAAGCCAGAAGTGTATAACAGGCAAACACATAAAACAAATTAACTTATTTAAATATTAACCTGCAGTCTAAGGGATTTTTTTTTAATTTAAAGCAAACAAAAAAAATTATAGGCAAAGGACATACTCCTCGAAAGTATACATGTACTTATGGCTTATGCTCCGGTCAAATGAAGTGAAGCAGGGACCTCACTTGTCAAAAATTGCTTAATTGCTTGAAAAACACACCAGATGCTACAAAATCTATTTACTTTTTTTCATCTTGCTCAGCACAAACTGGAACACATGTAGAAAATTAGAAAATGATAAATAAAAAAAATTAAAACTGTAAGCAGAAGTGTCACTTGATTAAAATTAAAACTATTTCGGAAAGAGTTCAGGAGACTGAAGTTAAACATGAATTAGTAGGGTAACTCAAGTGCTAATTTGTGTTTGTACTTTTATGTACTTCACCTTGGTGAAGGTGGAACCTGGTGGTCCTGAACAAACTGCAGTATCAGCTGGCATTTGCAGTGAAGATTAAGCAAGATGAACGGGGAATTATGAACAATGTTCTCCACCTGCACCGTATGGCCTACCTCAGCAGCAAAGATCAAAAGGTAGGCATGGGGCACAAAGAGCACTGACAGGGTAACAGCAATAGAGAGGATAACCACACAGGCCATGAACATCCCATGAGCTCTTATTTGTGCCAGACACTGTGCTAGGTGCTTAATGTGCTAATCCATCCAATCCTCTCCATGCTCCTAAAAGGCCAGTTGTATCAGACCTAGATGAGAGACAAGGAAACTGAGGTGCAGAAATAGCTTTCCCATGACACCACAGCCAGCATGGAAAGAGGCAGCATGCATCTTTATTACTGAACTGGAGTCCAGCTGTATTCAAAACACATCAAGTAACAGTCAGTGCTACAAGAGGCAAAACAGATTTATCACCCTGCAGCAGAAGCAGTCAACAAACAAAAAGAGCAGGTAACACTGCTGTCAGGTAGAGTGCAAAAACAGATCAGTTAGACTACTGAAAACATTGCACAGAGATGTGCAGGAAAGCAGTTTCTCTCCACAGGATCTAAGGCTCTCTTTAACTGTGTTATATTAACTGTGTTACTTACAACTATCCACTATTTACTCTTTGGGTCTTTATTACCTTTCAGAATAATAGTTCCTTCTTTTTACAAATCAGGAGGTAAACAGTTTTCTCTTTTCCCTTAAGTTTCAAAAGGCATCTCAAGGACTTCATCCATGCTAATTTTTCTTGGTCCTCTTTTCTCAGGTGAAAGTTCCAGTACCATACTCATAATTTGAGGTGCTGCTTCTGTGTCTTTCCATGTAATACAACACACTTTGACCAATGATGGATACAGCATTCAAAGAACAAAGTAACCTGAGTTTGTACAAAAGCTGCAATTTCTACTTAGTTTCTAGTCCTCTTCTATTGCTTTTTTCAAGAAAACATCCACAACAAAATGAATAGAAAGGTAAAACAGGTCCTATCTGGGGGCTGGCACCAGTGGGAGGGGAGAGGACATAAGGAAAGGATGTAGGAGGGTGAATATAGTGGAAATATTATGCATTCATGTATGAAAATGGAAAAACAAGACATGCTGAAACTATTCCAGGATTGGGGGGGTGTAAAGAAGAATGATTGGAGGGGGTGAATTCAACAATGATAAGAACTTTGATAAATGTCACAATGTACCCCCAGTACAACAATAATATGGTAATTAATAAAAGAAAGAAAACATCCACAAGTTTTTGGACCTTTCCTATACTGTTACTGGAGGCAGAAGACCCTGTTAGCTTGTTATTAAGATGTTGCTTAAATGTTTTTTAACAAATACATTGTTGTATTCCTTCCCACAAAAAATCTTGCCATCACAGCCTTGGAAGGTTTTGGTGGAGTAGAGGGATGCAGGTGCGCTGGAGCTAAACTTTCTCCAGTATAATGTGTAAAACTTTCAGGTTGAGAAGACTCCTCCCAACCTAGATATAATATGGCTAGCAGCAGGGAGTCCACACAATTATAGGGTCAATGTATGTCCAAAACATGATCTCAGAAGCAATGAGAGAGTGTAAGAAGTCAGAAGGATAAAACATTACAAAAATGCCAACTTTAAGAGAAAATGCAATCAAATTACTATGTTGCAAAACAAACTGTAGGGAGGGGAAATTTTATATATGTATATATATATATATTTTAATACAAACATGAAAATGTGGATTTGATTGGAAACAGGCAATGAAGTATTAAACTTCCATGACTATTGTCACTGGCTGGAGGGATGCTTTCCCCAGGAAAACTTAGGTGAACATAACTGCCCCAAAATTCAAGTTGCAAAGAGCTGAAAAGCTAAGGATATAATCAGCTAGGATCTGAAAATCATGATTCTCCAACGTGAGCGACAATGTTAACTTTTAAAAGCAAATACTCTTCAAGCACATTACAGTATCCAGGTTATCAACTGCACAAAAGACCCTGAACTATGGCTCAGCTGGCACAGGGCAGAGTCCTAAAGAAGCAAGAGATTAGCGAGTTCTCCAAGGGTCCTTCTGGCTTGCTTCATTTCCTCTGAGCCAGATTTCTGCACCCATGGCACTAGGTCAAAGGTCAAAGTGGCCTCTCTTAACCCTAGATGCACTCCAATCGCCTCAGCAAGCTCCTGTGGGTGATTTTAGTAAAGTGTTACACAAATGATGACTATCATTATTCCTTGCAACCCAGCAAGCTAAGGAAATATGGGGGTAGGGCGGAGACCGTGTAGGAAAGAAAACTGCTGTGACAACGACTGCAGAATTATAACAAACTCACAAGTAACATGAAAACTGATCGCAGTCCAAGTTTCTGTAAGCAAATTCCTGTTTGCTTCGGGCCCTGGGCAAACACGTTATGCCTCAACTTTGTGCACATATAAGTTGTGCACGGCCCGGTTCCAAAGTGCATTCACCAGCACTCGGGGGCGGGTGGAATTTCAGGAAGGAAGAAAGCGGGCCAAGGACGCTCGCTGCATCTGAAGGGAATGGAGACTTGTGCACCTTGGCGGGCGCGGGAGAAGTCGGCCGGACACCCCGCGGGGTCGCGGCCTGCAGCGCTTGGGTCTCGGGTGCGCAGCGGGGTACGCCGCGCCCTCCGGGCCGCTCACCTGCGCTATGCCGGCGCCCATCAGCCCGCCGCCGATGACCGTCACGTGCTTGACGACGATTTTCTTCGCCGAGGCCGAGGCAGTGGACGAGGAGGACACGGAGCGCACGAACTGCCTGGTGACGAAAGCCATATTGCGGCGACTACTGACAGAGCCCGGCGGAGAAGGCACGAGCGAACACCACCCACTAAAAGGACCTCTGGTGGTGGAGACACTACGGCCTCGCCGCCCGCCCGTTCGCACGTCCCCGTGACGTCACCTGGAGGACGGGGCTTGCGGCCGTCCCGCCCTTCCCCGTGACATCCCGGGGGGCGGGGCTTGCGGCCGGCCCGCCCTTCCCCGTGACATTCCCGGGAGGGCGGGGCTTGCGGCCGGCCCGCCCTTCCCCGGGACATCCCCGGGAGGGCGGGGCTTGCGGCCGGCCCGCCCTTCCCCGTGACATCCCGGGGGGTGGGGCTTGCGGCCGGCCCGCCCTTCCCCGTGACATCCCCGGGAGGGCGGGGCTCGCGGCTGGCCCCGCCCATTGGCCCAGGCCGCCGGCCCAGTGGCCGCGTTCGAACGTCTGAGCGCGCGGTCAGAACCTGTGTGGCTACCACGTTGCGCAGTCCTCGGCCAAAGGGAGGAGACTCCCTGCTAACAGTCCCAACAAATGTCACTGAACCAGGCGTCCACACTGCGAAGATCAAGCTCCCGGGAAGGACGGGCAGGATTGACCTTTAGTTACCTCTCTCAGCGTTACAAGTCGCGGACGGACGTGTAGACGGTTTAAGGTCAGAGCAACCTCTGGGGAGTAACTGATATGTTAGAAGGCTTAGGGAAGGAATGTCGTCTCAGCAATGAAAGACTTGAAACCAGCTACGCCAATCTGCTCATGAATATTTTCTAGTTACTGGACTGGAATATAATTCAGTATCAGTGATTCAAAAATTTATATATTTATTTACTTTCAAAATATGTGAAAGGATCCACAAACTTCCCATCCAAACAAGTCACCCGCCCCCCACTGGTAGTAATTATAGTGAATCCTGTGTCACCATTCCTTTGCTTTGACCTCTTTATACTTAATTCTGACAGGTTGTCTCAAAAACAATAAATAAAATAAAAAGAAAGGAGAGCTGTAGCAAGAATTTGGGAGTCCTGGAGCAGTGAACCGTGTGCTGTATGGCTTTCTGCAAACACCTTCTCTTGGCTTTAATATCCTCATCTGTTAAAAAGAAATGATTACATAAATAAATTTACATCTATTTCATATTGACAGTTTTATCCCATTTATAGTCTTCTGAAGCTGGAGGGCCACCCCTGCCCCTCCTCTTCCCAGTTCCAGTCAGATGATAGTTACAATAGAATCATTCTTCTTAGGCTAGGACTGCAAGTCTTTTTTCCAAGTGTGGACTTGGGATTTTGGGAGCCTAGTCACAATTTCTTTGGTCCCTCACTTGCACCTTCACCTTATTCTTGGAATTGTTCTTTCTCTCTGCAGAAAGAAGACAGGGAAGCATGACCTGGGTCACTGAACCATGTCAGAGAGATCAGGCACTTTGGCAAAAGTAAAGGAGCTGGCACAGAGAACAGAGTAAGTAATGACTTGCTTTTATTTTTGTCCTATAAATGGATATTGTGATACTTAAAAAATAGATACCAAAGAAGCTTTATGTGACAACAGACACAATGGCTCGCTCTGAGCTCAGTGGAAGCAGGGAGTGTAGTAGGTCTGTGCCTAACACAGTGGTTGGGATTTCTTAACAACCAGGACCATTAATGGGGGGAGGGGGACTGATTCATTGAACAAGTTGGAATTTTCCTTCTACTATGGGAAATAAATAATTTCTTGGCATTGAGCAAAAGCTTACTGCAGAAAACTAGAAGCTGTGGCTATGTAGAGTGGTAACAACAGTAGAGCCCAGAAAATAAAACCCAAAGCTTACCTGCTTCAAAATTAATGATGGTTTGTATGGTTTACATAAATAAAGCATACGATTTGCATAATTAGATCATATAATTAGTTTGAGAAGGGCTTTGTCATGTTTGTACCTCCTACTAAAACATGCTTTCAGAATAATTTATAAAACATATAAGGCAAAATTTCAGTTTTACAAGTAATTTGATCATTTGAGCTTTTAGAAAACAATTTTTCATGGCCAACTTTAAATGTTTCTTAGATTTTCTTATCATGCTAGCAATTGTCCCAGTGCCAGCTGCTCTCCACCTCCATTTTCCATTTGGAAAACCTTTCTCTGTGTTATAGAGAACAATGGCACTCCCAATTCACATGTTAAAATTAAAGTCTAGAAAGTCTAAAACCTAGGACTCCTGGGAACAAAGTGTTAAACACATACTTCAAGTGCACATTTGTATTTAATGCTGCCTTTGGGCTGGAGGAAGGAAGGAGTACATACTTCAGTTGGCACAGTATTGATTCAGAGTTTGAAGCATACAGTATTTTCCAATCGGGGTTAGAGTTTATTTGGACTCTCTTGCTAAGGAGATGAATTGTTCACTCCATATTTCCCAAATACAGGTTTTGCACAGAGTGAAACAGTTGTGTATTTCACTTAAGCATTAATGGCTGAGGGATTTATTGCAGGTAGGTCAGCATCTCTTACTTTATAGGAAGTGAAAGATTTCTGAGTTACTGAAAATGGAATATTATTTTAACCTTACCCAGAAGTCTCCAAAATACTGGCATAAGATTACAAGAATCACCAGATGTGATGATGAAAATGGCGCTATGTAAATTCATTACTACTCGGGGGAAAGACATGCAGAATAGGTCCTTTCACAACTACACCTTTGGCTTCTCTTAGGATTTTGATTTCAGTGTATAAAGTTTTGCACTTGTAAAGCTAGCCACTTAGTAGCCTTAAGAACAATGGCAATGGTGATGATCGTCCTTTTAGCAGTTCTCATATAGTCTTGCTGAAGTTCAATGGTTTCACATGTAGGCAGTCAAACTACATTGAGCCCTTTAGTGTGTTTGCCATTGTTCTGGGTGCTTCATGTGAATTAATTCATTAAATCTTCACAATAATCCTATGAGCTGCAGGACAGTCTGTTTTCAGGGTTCATGTTCTTGACTACTATGCTGGTGACATATAACAACATATATATAGCTATAGCCTGCTATCTTCTTCTAAAGGTGAGAAATCAAGGTTTAGGGTGGTAAAGGTGCTTATGGTTTGGAACTCACCTGTTATAAACAGCCAGACTCAGATTTTAACCTACTCTTGGCTTTTCAAAATTCTATACTTCTTAGAATGTACCCTTGCTGCTAGAGGGGAATGAGATGAGCTCCAGTAAGCATTGCATAGTCTACATTTGGAGCTTTAGGTGTTGTATAAATATTATTGTAAAAGCTAAGCAGATTAATTTACTTGGACATTCTTACTAGTAAACCCCAGAGCTGCAAGTTTCCTATAGAAATTCTCAATGTTTCTTGAGGAGTCATGGGTTATATAGTATCCTGATTTTCAGCATAGATGCATGTTCCTCAAACACAAACCTCCATCTGCAATCATCTACTGGTTACCTCTACTTAGAAACCCCTCGGGCGCTTCCAATATAACTTATCAAAATTAGAGCCTATAATTTTCCACCCCCCAAATACCTCTAGGCTCTTCTTGCATTTGATATCTCAGTTCATGATGACCCCCTAACCAAGAGCTGCCTTCTTCTACCTCCCACTACATCCCCATCCAATGGGTCATTTGATTCCACTTTGGAAATGGCTTCTTCCCTTCTCCACCCACCCATCTCTATTCCTAATTGCTGGCATTTTATTCCAGCCTTTATCTCTTTAAAAATAAACCTTATTGTGTACATTCGAGGTTTGTAACATGATGTTTGGGACTCATATAAATAGTAAAATGGTAACTCCATTGAAACAGATTAGCAGATCTGTCATCTCACACAGTTAATTGTGTATGACAAAAGCAGCTAAAATCTTTTTAAACAGAAATCTAATACGACACAATTTTATTAACTTTAGTCCACATGCTATGCATGACATTTCTAAACTATCTGGTACTTTGACTGACCTCTCCCATTTTCTCTACTCCCTGGCCACCCATGGTAACTACTGCTACATTCTCTACATTCTGTATCTGACCTCTTTAGTTTTTATATTATACGTGTAAGTGAGATCATGCAATATGTTTTTTTCTGGTGTATTTCACGTAGCATAATGGCCTACAGGTCCACTTGTGCTGTGGCAAATAGCAAGATCTCCCTTTTATTAAAGTGGAATAATACTCCATTCTATCAGTGTGTGTGTGTGTGTGTGTGTGTGTGTGTGTGTGTGTGTATGTGTGTGAATTATATTTTTTTTACCATTTGGTGTATAGAAACCAGTCACTAAAGGCAGAAGGGATGGAGAGATTGAAATTTATTAGGGACTTTTTGAATAGAAGCATGTCTTGGATGATAGTAATATAGGAGGATTTCTACACTTCCACCAGAAGAAGGGGTTTATATGCTAAGCTAAACAAAAGTGGGCTGTGGCCAACTGGAATATACCTGGTAAGTTCTCAAAACTATGAAGAAATAGTTAAGAAATCAATTAAGAAATAGGCTGGCAGTGGCTGGCCCAGCATGCTCAGCTCACTGTTTTACCAACTTAGTGTTTGGGATGTGTGCCAGCATCACCTGGCAGGCAAAATGGCGAATTTGACCAAGATGGCTGCATCCCTACAATCCATTTGCCCATCACTGGACATATAAGCTGTTTCCATATCTTGACTCTTGTGAATGGTGTTGCAATAAACATGCAGTTGCCAATACCTTTGCCTTCTTTGCATATATACCCAGAAGAGGGATCAGCCTTTATCTCTTGTGGAGAGACGTCTCCCATCATTCTCGTCCATAGTCTGCATCCCCTTCATGTCTATAGTTCACACAGTGGACCCCTGTGTGCTTATTTAAAACCTTTGTCTATAGGATAGAAACCAGACTTCTCAATCTTGGCCCCAGTACTCTAAACTCACAGGGTTCTTCTGTATCTTTGTTAAGTGCCTTAAATTGTAGCGACAAGGAACCAAAGTTACTTGTCCTCACTTCTAAACTGTCCCTCATAAATCTCCCAATTGCCAGTTTTCCTAAAAAATGAGTTAAAAGTGAACCCAGAATTAAAATGTTTTGACTATAATTCTCAGATATTCTTAAGAGCCAGTGTGGCTGATAATGACTATTTTAAGAATAAAATTAATTTAGAAAATAAGTAAGTTCTTCATTGGTTTATAAGAGCAAGATACATTTATTATTCTTTCTTATGTGTTAGAAATGGTAGTAGAATGGAAAGTCAGAAGTGACTAGAATGTGGTCTTTGCCTTTCAAAGGTTTCAAGATATAGTAAGAGAACTAAAACTAGAACTAAGTTATGACAGCAATGTTGTAGGTGCTTTCCATGGGTGAACTGAGAGAGGTGATGAGGCATGGCAGGGTAGGAAGTGGGATGGAGCAAGGTATGGTAGTAACAGCTAACATTTAATAAAGGTTTAATTTGCCACAATGTACTCAGCATATGTATTTTCTCATCTACTTCCACCACACCTAGAAGGCATGTCACTGTTTGTATCCTCCCTTTGCGTATGGGTCATCTGAGGCTTAGATTGGAAAGTAATTTGCTTGGGGACTAGTATGCTTCAGTCAAGGGCCAGGTCTTGAACTTAGTCGATCTTCAAAGTTGCTACTTTTAACCAGAGTGCTAAACTACCTCATGGTAGTGGAGACATTACAGCAGGGCCTTCAGGATGATTAGGTTTGCGAGCAGAGAAAGAGTTCAAATGACATTCCAGACAGAGAAAAATATGTATTGAGATGACAGAGCAGAGGTTGGAGTGGTCTAGAAATACAATTAGTTTAGAATGACGAAAACATGGGGTTCTTTGGGATAAATGAAGATGAAATTGGAAAGTTAGGGAGGGGCCATATAAGGGCAGACCTGTTTTATGATAGTCATGGTCACAGTTGCATTCATGTTTTCAACTTTTGATTTGGAAATAATTGCAAGCTTGCAGAAAAGTGACAGGACTAATAATAGTACAAAGACATATATGTACCTCTTACTTACACTTACCTACTGTTAACTGATTTGTTTTTTTTGCTCTATTTTATTTACTATATTTCTGTATTTATTTCCTAAGAATACGGTAATTCTCTTACATAACCACAGTAAGTTATCAACTTTAATAAATTTATTTTGGATACATTTTTATATAAATTATTGTTTGTACTCCAATTTAGTTAACTGACTCAATAGTGTTCTTCATAGATGTTTTTCTTTCCAGTACAGTTCAGTTTTCTCTCTCAGTAATAGCCTTACTGAGGTTTATTTTATATATCCTGACATTTGGCCATTTCAAGTATATAGTTCAATGATATTCACTAATTTTACTGAATGAGGCAACTGTCACCATAAATGAGCATTTCCCCACTTAGGCTTTTGATGACCATTTAAAGTTAATCCCCATTCTATTCCAGTCCCAGACAACCACTAATCTACTCTCTGTCTCTATAAATTTACCTTTTATAATCATGTAAGTGGAATCATAGAATGTGTAGTCTCTCTTAGCATAATGC